AAGATGAGGAAGGATTTTAAGGATTACCTTGGTAAGAGGATTTTGGTAATTTTCTCTGAATCGGAATCTCATTTGGATATGTTCTTCGATTGTTATTGCTTTCTTTAGTGTATCTTCAAGGTTTTCGTACCTATGGAGATCAAGAAGATCAGTGATGTTTGAGTTTAAGCCGATGACGAATCTTGACACGGTGACCTCTTCTTTTTCGATTATGTTAGCTCTATTGAGTAAGGACTGCATCTCCTTATAGTAGCCTTCAACTGAACTTCTACGTTGTCGAAGTCGGTGTAGTTGTAGTTTAACTTTTCGTGTATAATGTGTCGGTAAGAATTGCTTCCTCATGGTTTGTTTGAGGTCGGTCCAAGAAGTGATTGTTGGAATTTGGAAGTTCTAGATCTTTTTCCTTGTTTGTATCCACCAAGTTCGAGCATATCCTTCAAATTGCATGGTGATGAGGGGAACTTGTTTAGCCTAGGGACAATCATGGTATGCGAACATGAGATCAATGTTTCCTTCCCAATTGATGTACATGTCTGGATCGTTGTCTCCTTTGAAATACGGGATGGTGAACTTTGGTTTTGCAAAGAGTTTGGGTGCTTGGAAACGTGGTTGTTCTCGTATGGGTACTAAAAATTCAGCTTTGTTTGGTCTTGGATTCTGGTTTGGTAGATCCAGTTGTGGTTATTATCGTTCTCTCATTGTTTCATCAAATCTTTCAACTTGAGTTGTGAGTCGGGCAATTGAGGCTAAGATAGCCGTAAGTGTCTTGTTGTTATTGTCGTCCATCCTGAAATCATAACACTCAAAAGAATATTTAAAGCAACATAAAAAATAAAAGAAAGAAAATTCAACAAAGCAAGAAACCTCATAAGTCACTCCAAGAAAGTAACACAACGAGAGGAAAGTAAGCCGACCTTGTACTCTTTAAAACTCACTTTACCAAGTAGTCTTCCACAGTTCGTATCGGAGTTTGATTACTAGCAAAGGCGATAAGAAAAACATAAAAGCTCTAAGAGACCAAAAAGGTTAAACTCCAAGAGAACGAGAATGCAAAGAATGAAGAAGTATGCAAACTCTTTAGTACTACTAACACAAGGAAAGATAATGTGTTAGATAATGCAAAAGAACAATAACAAGGAAAAACAAAAGAACATAAAGCACTAAGAGTCAAAGAAAAAGAAACCAAACCAGAAAACCTAGAAAACGCTAGATCAACATGAGAAACCTTTTTGAGGGGGTTACCGGTGTCCAAAAATTTTGGAAAAATTCTTGAATGTCTTTCGATGAGTCAAGAAACCACCTGTAAAATTTCAGAACCAAATATTTTTAGTAGTATCCATTAGACTCTGTTGAACTGTGAGTCCTTAAACAATCTGTTTTTCTTGATCGCTTTGTTCGAAAGTGTTCTTGATGGCAAAAAAATATTATTCTTTGTGTGAATTATATTGAATATATGAAGTTTCAATCTGGAAATTTTCACTACGAAATTCCTCCTATATAATTTTCAAGAAATTCGACAAAATTTTAGACCGAATATGTTGATGAGACTTGAATGATGTATTTGAAGGCTCTAATGAGCTCCGATTGGGGTGAAATTTGGACTGGAGATTACTATTAGAATGAATATGAGATATGGATAAAATAAGCCCTAAATTCCTTCATTTTCAATTTTTCAATTTTTATGACTTGAAACGATGAATCTTTTGTGAACTAGCTCCGTTGGGGTACCTTGACAGTTTTGTGTACAAGAACAAGCAAGATTGCTTGCTTCTTTCCAGGAATCAGCCCAAATTTGATACCAGTTGATAGGGAAGCGGTGGCGGGTTAAAGAACATTGCTCTTGTTGAAGAATCAAACCTAGAAAGCTCTAGACTCGATGAAGAACAATGGGGAATAAATAGGGGAAGGTGGCGGCAATAAGTAGGGTTCTTAGGGTTTCTTTTAGGTGCTGGAAACAATGTAAGAAACAAGATTAAAACAAGATAAAGAACAGATAAAGAAATTGAAAATAAAGTAAGATAACCAAGAAAGCAAAAGATCTCCCTTATGAAGGTGAACGGGTAAAGATGATTGATGGTGTGGATGGATATGTGGAAAATCGATGGATAATGTCCTATCGAGCCCTCCTAGTCGCAATGAAAAGGCAAACACGATAATATGGCTCTAACCAACCCCCCTAGTCGCGATGAAAAGGCAAATTAGAGTGTGAATATTAATCTCCCTCACAAGAACTTGAAAGAACTCTCGGAGAAGAAGCTTCGAAGGCACAAGGCAATTAACACTTGCAAAAACGAACTCTAGTTGTATTATTAATCAAAGAAATCTTGGTTACAAAGTTGAATGAAGCCTCCTTTATATAGGGGCTGAGTTCTAAAGGTTTTAAATAACTAATGAATAAAATAATAATAAACTAAACATGTCTTGACTATAATTCCTAATAAAATAATAATAACTAAAAATAATGTTAACTCAACCTTAATTCCTAATAAAATAATAAATCTAATCCTAAAAGATAATGCATCATCCTATATTAAATTATATTACAAATAATCAATAAAATATTGAAAATTCGTAATATTTACAAAATCCTATATTAATCCCGTATAGTATTTTCTGCATGCATCATCTTCACTAAAATGACCATATCTTGAGTTCCCGATATTGGATTGATGCGATTCTAGAACCGTTGGAAATATAAGAGATAGAAGGTTGTATCTCTAGAAGACAAGTTGATCAAATAAGATCAGGATATCATTCACAAAGTCGTCGCAAGTCTGCTGTTGTTCTGGTCTTCTTGTCCAATCCTTGGACAAGTGGATCATTTGGAAGAGTTATTACTTCTTCATTTGATGTGAACCTTGTGATGCATGTATCATCCTCCCTTTCTTCAAAAAGATTCGACCTCGAATCTAAAACATTAAAGGGAGCAACATTAGAATAGTTTAATCATTCATTCACATTATGTTTACCGAATAGATATGCTTTGAATCTTCGAGATTTTGTTCTTCTAATAGGTACGAGTAGAAACATTAGTCCAAAGAAGCATGTATTATGGACCCTGGTGCATGTATCACCGAAGCCTTCCATGCAAGCTTATAATCTTGGTAGTGGAGAGTTTTGAATACATGTTGAGGACTCTGTTCTAGATCTGAGCAGAGGTATGTACTCCCACAAGCTTAGGTAGAATTGAAGAACTAATTGTTGAAAGAAGCCAATACGCTGAAGAATTATCTTGCTTTTTGTGACGATGATAAGCCGGATTCACCATTAACTCACTGGAATCATCCACAACAGTATGAGGCGGAATCGGTAAAGACTCATCCAACAAATGCTCCAACTCATGTCCTTGAATCATAAGAAGCACTTGTTGCTTCCAAAGAAGAAAATTATTGACATTAAGCCGAACATTGACATATTTATTCAAAAACGACGTCTCCATCATTCGGTTGTTAACCAAGACTGCACTACTTTATTCAGATGTAACCTCAACAGCAACAAAAGAATCAAGTATAACGAGCAGCGCAATGAAAACCGGAGAAAATCACCATAGAATCCACCGGCTAACAGATCGTTAGACATCTGATACCATGTTGAAAACTCTATTCTACACAGCTTAACTAGAGGGAAAGTAAGGTGAAAAGAAAAGGAAATGTAGGTTGTTAGATGATTTCAGCCCTTAACTAGAAATGCCTTTTTATATAGCCAATTGTTTTTCCTTACGGGTTAACACTATAAGTTTAACCCAATAGAAAACTGGCTTAACTGTAAAACTAACCCTTAACAGAAACAATTAGCAACCAACTACTCCAGCTGGCACCACTCTATTTCTTAATACGATAAATTACAAGAATACCATTTAAGCTTATTTTGAATTAAAATAATTACTTTTTTATTTTGATAAAACTTCATGACGTGGGATCAAATATAATTTTTTCTAAAAAATTCATTTTAAAATAACTATTATTTGTTATTTAAATAAAAATATTTATTCTCATTTTAACATGTAGTACACAAAAATATTGTTTTAAATAAATGATAATAATAATTTTTTAATTAATAATAATTATTATTTCAAATAAATGATGAGATCTTTATTTATAATTACTAAAACAACTCAAACTATCAAACATCCCTCTCAAGAACTGAGTTCGCTCCAACAGACAAGTAACGCCCTTCTCATTTCAATGCATCTGCCACCTCATTCTCCCCACGACGGATATGCCGCACATCGGCCTCCCATTGTCGTCTACAAAGCTCGCGCATTTGATGCCCCAAGGACAGCAGCCAGGATCGGTGATCACCATTCCTGATCATACGAACTGTCCGGAAATTAAACATTTTCAGTATGTAAACCACATTAGAAATTAGGATAAACTTGAGGGGTCATTCGTGCCATTATCCCATATACAAAATATATAAAAAGAAAATTTTAAAACGTAAGACACGAGAAAACATGAAAGGGTTTGATATCCAATTATATATGATCGTGGAGTGGTTACTCAAAAGCAAAGAGCAGTTAGGACAAAACAACTTGCTTTGATCTTGTAAAAGATCCTATGTGTTTTTTATGTGTAGTGATGTATGTTACCAAACTGAAAAAAAAATGCTTTGGGCAGTGAGTCGGTGAGCCACATGACTCGCATTCTATACCCTTTTAACTTTGGATGTCGTCCTCTTCTTCCTGTTTCAACAACACTGTTAAATGCCTCCAAATAATCACTATGCATATGATGAGAGAGATGAGTTAATTGATGGCCATTGAGATTCCTTCATTCATTTTTAATCCCATCTAGCTTTGGCCTTTGGGCGACATTTCAATAGCTTCCTCCATCGGATTTTACAACGTTAATTTCTTGTCCTTAAAGACATATCACTGTCCTTTGGCCTTGTTTTGTTGCTTACTATCCTTCGGCCAACAAAGTAACAACAACAACTTGTAAGAACAGTAGAGGTTTTGAACATAGTTAAGAACACAAAAGCCAGCCGAGGACAGCAGAGCAAGGGACAATGGGAATTCGAAGGGATTCCCCCAGGAACTCACTAAAGAAGAAGACTACTCTCAAGCACCTCTTTGAGCTAGATTCCAAGCCTTATGTCGGAAGGCCCCTTTCGAGTCCCAGTGGTGGTGGTATCGACTCCAAACACAAAGAATTCCTATCGGCTATCTCTGATTGCAGCTTGGTTTTCACTTTTACCGACCCTCAGGAGTCACCTTCGCAGCAGGATCTCAAGCGCCTCAGGCTCATCCAACTTGTCTCTTTGCTCAAATCTTTGAGGAAACCGTTGCACGAACACCTCGTCTCACGTCTCGTATCGATGGTGTCCGTCAACCTTTTCAGGCCACTCCCTCCGCCTTCGAATAGCACTTCCATTATCTCTGCTTTGCCCGATGACGACGAGCTTTCGACTTTCACACCTCTATGGCCTCACTTGCAGCTTGTTTATGATATTCTTCTTAGGCTTGTTGTTAACTTAGACCCCAAGAAACTTAAGGATTACATCGATCATCGGTTCATTCGCAATCTTCTCTTCCTCTTTCAATCCGAAGATCCTCGAGAAAGAGAAGGGTTGAAGAATGTTTTCCATCGTATATATTCAAGATTCACTTCCTATAGATCGTTCATGAGAAAAGCTATGAGCGATCTATTTTTGCATTACATTTTTGAGACCGAAAGGCATTATGGGATCGGCGAGCTGCTCGAGATATGGGGAAGCATCATCAATGGCTTCGGGGTTCCGTTAAAAGAGGAGCACAAGCTTTTCTTGATGAGAGTGCTTCTTCCGTTGCACAAGGCCAAGGGCTTGCAGGTTTGCCATAGGCAAGTGGCCTATTGTGTCACGCAATTCGTGCAGAAAGAGCCTGCACTTGGAGGAATCGTTGTTCGGAGAATTCTAAGGTACTGGCCGATCACCAATTGTCACAAAGAAGTTTTACTCATCGGAGAATTGGAAGAACTTGTTGAGAATATCGATCCCGATCAGTACCGAACGTTGGCAGTACCCTTATGCTCTCGAATTACAAGATGTTTGAATAGCTGCAACTCACAGGTGAGCCCTTAGGCCTTATGATCACCAATTGTTTTCCCTTTGTTTCGTGTTACTCTTCGATGATATCTGTTTTCGTGTGTCACATTGAAAATCACCGATATCAGGTAGCCGAGCGAGCGATGTACGTGTGGAACAATGAGCAGTTCGTGAAGATGGCATCCGCGGCCAAGGAAGAAGTGTTTCCGGTGGTAGTACAAGGCATGGAGAGCAACCTAAAGGTGCATTGGAGCAAAAGTGTAAAGCAATTAACAGAGAATGTGAAGAGCATGTTGGAAGAAATGGATCCAACTCTATACGAAAAGTGCCTCCGAGAAATCGACGGTCGGGAATCCGAAGCTCGCCGGGAACAAATTAAGCGGCAACAGAGATGGACTGAAATAGAAATGGCCGCAGCAAAGCCGAACCACTTCCTTCAACCTACGAAATCTATATATGTTTCTTCTCATTGAATTGAATTGCAAGATCTGATTCAGAACCAATCAATTAACATCAAATCTTACTATATACACGTATATATATATATATATATATATATATATATATATATATATTAATGATATGCTATATTTCATATTTAGATTTTGTATGGACAATTTTGATAAACTAAATACATAAATTGAAATAATATACCATAGAAATATTGAATCTTTTGAAATTTTAAGTAAAAAACGAGTAGAATTATTATATTATTAAAATAGTAATTTATAGAAAATCGTACTTGGTTACTTAAACTTCTGTGTATCTATTAGAATATTAGATGTTAATAAAGATTAGTTAGTATTTATTATTAATTTGTTATGGTTTGTTATCAGCTTGTTATTAGTTTGTTATGGTGTGTTGCTTACTTAGACTATATAAGTCATACCTTTGTACGAGGTTGATGTAGAGTTTCATTCAATATTCAATAGAAAATTTATGTCATATTACTCTCTTTAAATTTCTTCCTTCCACATTTGTTGATTTCATGACTGCTTTCTCACATGATATCATTCGCCAAAGATCCTGACGTCATTTTCTCTTCCGCCGTTGCGCCGACGATTGAGTTCCTTTACTCTCACTTTCTTCCTTCTCCAAAACTCTCACCTCATCCTCTTATTTTTCTCGATCGTTCTCCCTTTCTCGCTTGAAAAGAGAGGTTGATTCGCGTATTTTAAAAGCTGTTGCTATTGAGAACTCTAAGGATGTGGATGCAGCTGTAGAGATTGTTCTGTTTGAGATTCTGCCTTACATGTCTAAACAAACGATGGCTGCTAGTTCTTCCTCACGGAGACCGAATCCTCGCGTGCCTCCAAATAGTGCTTTGGATGAGGAAGAAGGCAATCAATTAAAGCAGCAGAAGTTATTGTTGGTGAACACAACATGCTCTCCTACAGATCCATTGTTGGAAGCAAATGAAGTTCTCAGAGACGTTGTTCTTACAGGTGCTGCTACCGATGTTGGTTCTATTGAGGCATCAAGTGCAGCGAGTACTTCAAAAATCCACGAGAACAACAATAATGAGCCTGCTGATGTTGAAACCAATGAATTAATTTTGTTGGGGAACACAGAAAAATGTTCTGAAATTGGGAAAGCTGAATCTAGTGTCAGCTTGAGTGCTTTAGGGATTGATAATCTTCTGCCTTATGTGAATCTTGAAATTAAGGGGTCTGGATCTAAAGACCAAACCGTAGACGTTGAAGATGGGATTGTGAGGACTCCTCATGCTTCACCAGACACAGCTGATAAGTCTACCTCACTTCTAGAGAATACTGGTAGCATTGACATCTATAATGATATTTTAAAGTTATATGGGCCTTTAGATCTGAATGTGGTTTCATGCAGAAACAACTCATTCAATAGAATCTTGATAGGGGAAGAAAATGTTGGGGCTCTTCTTGTTCCATCATCTTCTCAAGAACAAATGGCAGAAGCACTCAGAGCTGGTCTTTATTCTGAAATCAATGACCACTCTACTGGTTCTGAGAAACTAGAAAAAGGTTCTATAGAACTGAAATCCCAGCAGGACCCCATCAGTGATATGGGCGATATTGAGGATGATACCGTCAATCCTGTTGTTAGTGGGTCTAGTCAAACATGCAGAATTGATCTACATGAAGAGGTCATTGAAGATGCTAAAAATAATGAGAAAACCTTGTTTTAGGTCATGCAGTCTCTGATGGTAAAGTTAGCATCGGCACTTCCGATTCAAGTCGAACGGAAGGAAGCATCGGCACTTCCGATTCAAGTCGAACGGAAGGAGGCATCGGCACTTCCAATTCAAGTCGAACGGAAGGAGGCATCAGCACTTTCGATTCAAGTCGAACGGAAGAAGGCATCGGCACTTCCGATTCAAGTCGAACGAAAGGAGGGATCGACACTTCCGATTCAAGTCGAACGGAAAGAGGCATCGGCACTTCCGATTCAAGTTGAACGGAATAAGGCATCGGCACTTCCGATTCAAGTCGAATGGAATAAGGCATCGACACTTCCGATTCAAGTCGAACGGAATGAGGCATCGACACTTCCGATTCAAGTCGAACGGAATGAGACATCAGCACTTCCGATTCAAATCGAACGGAATGAGGCATCAGCATTTCAGATTCAAATCGAACGGAAGGAGGCATCGACACTTCCGATTCAAATCAAACGGAAGGAAGCATCGCCACTTCCGATTCAAGTCGAACGAAAAGATGTATCGCACTTTCGTTTCGAGTGTTCGTCTTTTCATCAAGAAGGTTGAAGAAGTCGGGAGAATATTAGAATATTAGAATGTTAATAAAGATTAGTTAGTATTTGTTATTAGTTTGTTATCAGTTTGTTATGGTTTGTTATCAGTTTGTTATTAGTTTGTTATGGTTTGTTATTAGCTCGTTATTAGTTTGTTATGGTGTGTTGCTTACTTAGACTATATAAGTCATACCTTTGTATGAGGTTGATGTAGAGTTTTATTCAATATTCAATAGAAAATTTATGTCATATTACTCTCTTTAAATTTCCTCCTTCCACATTTGTTGATTTCATGGCTGCTTTCTCACAGTATCTAAATTATTTAATTTGAGTGAAGTCCAATGACAATAACAAACTCACATCTATTCCACTGTTCAGCCTGCCAACCCGACGAGATTCCATAACTCTATATAATTTGGCAGCTGGACTGGTGATTGTTGAGGAATTTTAAAACGAATGGATACTTTAATTTGTGTATTCATATTATATTTAAATTAAATTCAAAAGCAAATATTTAATCTGTAATTTTTTATTTAGTTATTTAAAATTACATTTTAATTAAAGTAAGTGATCAATATTTATTTTTAGAATGAATTATCAACTTATGAGAAAAATTGTCATTTAATCATTTCTCTACATTATGTTTTAATTTTTAATTTTTTAGAAAAAAACTTAGAATTTTTATATTTTCAATAAATCTTTTTACAATCTCTAAATATTCTAAAAACCCTTAAAATCTTTTTTTTTCTCAAAATACACCTAAGATTTGTTCTCCTCTCGCCATTCGTCGTCATCAAATGCCATATGTCATAACCATTTTTTTGAAAAACAATTAAGTTAAAAATAATTATGACTTTATTTGAAAAATTGAAGACTTTGAATTAATTTGAAATTTTTGAATTGGAGTCGCCATCAACCTTTGGGTTAGGTGGGTCGAATAGTTAAAAACGTCTTTTAAAATAATTCAGAAAAATAATTTAAAAGACAAAAGTTGGTATGCATTTACTAAAAATACGATTTAATGGGTCAGGGAGTCAATTATGCACGGGGAAGGATTAGTACCTCCATAGCGCCCAAAATTGATACTTAATCGCTTACACGTTGTTGTAATGGTGGAAATTATAAATTGAATATGAAGTTAAAAGATGATTCATTTATTAAAGTTTAATCAAATTACTTATTCCGAATCAATTATTTAAAGAAAAATCTTTTACTTGAAAAGAAATATCAAGATTCGAAATCCTCTGTCGGGAAAGCGATCTCGCCTATTTCTCATCTGTAAAAGAATATTTTATCCTTGAATTACTTAAAGCATTGAATTCTTATAAAATTTTTTGCATAAAATAAATTATGATTCATTTTTTTCCGAAAACATAAATTATTAATACCAACATTACCTAAAACAACATGAAAATCAAATAACGAAAAATAATAAATAAAAAATAAAATAAAAAAGAATTAAAAAAATAAAAAAAATTATTATTTTAATAAATATATAAAAGCGCTTGTAATTTCAAGTTCATATTCCGTTCGAATGTCGTATCAGATTACACTACTTCAATCAAGTGGTGCTTTCCATGCCCATTCTACAAATAACGTTCTTGAAACTATTTGAGTAAAACCGTTAAAAATGAATAAAACAAACATTTTATATAATCCTTCGAAACCAATTCCAAGAAGTAAGGAATATACACGTATTTATAAATATACATACAAAAATATAATATGTAAAATAAATGAACATGCTCAAACATACACATATAAATATTTAATATGACAACCTATGCATATATTTACAACAAATTTACATACACCAATTTTAAAGTATTAATATGCAATAAATAAATAAAACCAATATTAAATCAAAAACATAAAATAGAAACAGGGACTAAACATGTAATAATCCATATATTTTTTAGGCTAGAACAGTGATTAATTTACAAATACTAAGATATATATGGACTGAATACACAAATAAACCGAAATCGAACAAACATTAGATAAAAAGGACTAAAATGAACTAAAAACAAATTGCTAGATCAAACCAAATATTTAACCAAAATATTAAAACATATGTACGAGGACTAAAACATATAACTGAAAACATGAAAGGCTTGAATCCATAAATATCCCATTTCATTTCAAACCTGCTTACTAGATTACAAAATTCAAGGGCCTAAAATTGCATTTTCTCCCAAAATTTGTGAAAACACTGGAATGGGGAGATGAAACTACGTCGTTTCAATCAGGGAATATAAACCCGATTCTAAAGCCTCACTCTCATCCCCTCACCATTTCTCAGTTTGTTTCAGAAAAGCAAGAGAGAGTTTCCCAGAACTCTCTCAACTTCTCCTCTCGGGGGAGAGGGGATCGTTGTTCACCGACGGTTGCTCTCGGCCGTTTACGATGGCCGAAGAAGACAAACCCCAAACCTTCCTCTTGCTCTCCTGAACCCAAAAACTAAACCCAATTAAACTAAAAATTACCCTAAAATCATAGATCTAGGGTTTACCTCTCGAAAAAAACACAAATCTGGTCACCTTTTTAACTTCCTAACGAGCAATGGACGTTGTAAGAACCTCTTTTTGACTCCCCTATGTTCGAATGCTTTTCCCTTTTTTTTTGTTTTTCTGGGTTCTAAATCTCTCAGTTTCTTTTTTTTTTCCGAATATGTTATTTTTATTTTTCTCTCTCGAATGCTTCATTCATTTTCTATTTACCTTGATTTATGGATGGCTTTAGGGTAGGAATAATTAGACCTTGTAATGGGGAATGATTTCCCTAGTAAATATATC